GGGATATAGACGAGAGTTATCTCCCCTGCACTTGGATGTGAAAGACCCAATACCTTGTCAAGTGTGGATGAAATTACTTATATCACAGACTTTTCATGTTTAAGTCTCACCTAATTTACTCACTAGGGTGCCGTTGTACAAAGCAATCTAGCGGTAAGGTGATCGTAACTCCCATACCTTAACATAGACTTACGACTGACATAGCACCGAGGTTGCTTTGTACAATGGCACCCTGGAACGCTGAATGTTTTGTGCAACTCATCTCTGCCTGACTGTATAATGCTGTCTTTCAGTCTGCTTACGGTCTGTCCATGCAACCACTTTTTGTATGTGTGCGGATATAGAGCAAAAATAACTGAGACACCACTCCGTGCTCTACATCAGCATCATCAAAGAAAGGGGTGGTTGTTAGCCTTGTGATCACAACGAAGACTTGGCTTCGATTTCCCACATGGGTACAATGTGTGAGGCCCATTTCTCGTGTTCCCTGCCATGATATTGCTGGGATATTGTAAATGTGGCACAAAACTATACTCACTCGCTCATCAAAAAGTATTGGAGAACTGATGTGTCAAGCACCAAATTTGTTCCAAGCATTTCCTGGAAAGGGACAGCCAGAATCATATGCTTATTTCATTGTCATCTACCCTAGAAATCATCATTGCCTGTTTATTGTTGATGAGAATATTGATGTATGTTTTGCATTTATTTGTGTACTGCCATGTATGAAACATATATTCTTGTTCACGTCGGTATTCATGTATCGTATGGGCTTTCATCAAACATACCATTTTTGTATGGCAAGGTTTCCCGGAAATTCTCTCCATATAATGCAGCACTTAGGCTGTGCTTAGTATATTTTCTGTATGCTCAACATTTGTGGTCATGGGTGCAAAGATGGCTCAGTGGTCAAATACCTTGCAGTTTGCTGCAGAGTTACATCCCTTAGTTGTCCAGTGAATCCTTGATTTGTCCTGATTATGTCCCTTGGTTGGATAGCGTTGAGTTGCACCAAAGTCTATAATTTGCATCACTATGTAAGGCTAGACAATTTCTTTAGTCAAAAACTTGAAATGGTTTAAGATATATGAAAAAAGGGAAAAGTTGTTTTGTTATGTCAACCATAAATTGGTAAAATGTTAAAATAATCCATCTCAATTTTGTCGCTATGTGTATAAAAAAATCTATTCAAAATACTTGTAGTGTAAACCAGAAAACATCTCTCACTCCTGCTTCCACTTTTTTCTATTTTATCCAAACCTGTTAATCATTTTCATTGTCACTCTGTTGCAGAAATACTGCCATTGTGATGTTTAATTATAACTCACTCACTTGCTCAACATTTTGATACATTTAAAATATATTTTAAACTGGAATTTTATTAAAAGGAAAGTTCTGACATGGTGACATGACCTTGTGGGCCAAAAATCTGGAAACCAAAGGAAAAAGTGCTGCCAAACTGAAATGTTGTTCAAACCTATAAGTATTATCAACCCAGATGAGACTCTACGTCATTTGTCGTTGAATGACCTGTGATTTTTAGTGAAATCTTCATAAGGCCAGACCAATTTTATTTCTTGTTTTACAGATTCTTGTCCTCAAAAACACTAAAGGCAGGAAAAAAAACAAAATAACATCTCCAGTCAAAGTAATATTCCTTCTAAATATTAAAAGTATTTTACTTCTGGCAATTTGTGCAGTGTATATGGGGCAAATACATTTGTTTACATTTTTGGCCAATGAATACATAAGGATTTTATTTTTTGAGCGGAGAAAATTAAAAAAAATTTTTTCATATTCGTGAAAAAAAACGACAGGCAGATCCATAAAACAAGAAATAAAATTGGCCTGGCCTCATCATGATGCACTGATTTCAGAGAAGTTACTTACTTAACAGGTTCCTTGATCAACAAGTATATAATACGTAATAGGGATATTTATATAGCGCCACGCACGAATGCATGCTCATAGTGCTGAAACATATAAGGGTGGTGGGGTAACCTAGTGGTTAAAGCGTTCGCTCATCATGCCAAAGACCTGGGTTCAAATCCACACATAGGTACAGTGTGAGAAGCCCATTTCTGGTGTCCCCCGCTGTGATATTGCTGGAATATTGCTAAAAGCGGCGTAACACCATACTCAGTCACACAACAAGTATATAGATTCAAAGAAATGTTGTTTTGAAATGTGGACAAAGTCACCCAGCTGTTGGAGTCTCACTGTATTCCCATCAGGCACTGTAAACATGGGTGGGTCATGTACAAGCAGTAACATTGCCTTTTGTTTGGAAAAATCTGAAAATACAATCTAAAATGTAGAAAAATTAAAAATGGAATTTTAATGACACAGGGAATTGCTTAAACTATCAATAGAACTCCAGTTCTGCGTGTACAAATCAAAACTAAACGGTTCGATTTTCATAACAAGTCTGTGGTAACGTAATTTATTTTAAGCTGCTTGTGGCACTATTCCATCCATCATGGCAGTAGCCAAATAGCGAATGTGTTTCCTTATATGCTTTTGGTCCTGGTCTTGATTGATTAATTCGTAATGGTGAAGTGGTTCATGTCTTATGAAATGCATCACTTCAAGCCTTCCTCCCACATTAAGCTAACAGGCAGCGATATAACAGTATTATGTCTCACAGTTAACAACCAACAAATCCATCCAAGAACAAAGAGGGATGTTGAATAGACCCGATGCAAGCATTCAATGCCAGGTGCAAGCACCTGTTCTTCTAACTGATGTCAGGCAGTCATATAGCTGGAATAGTGATGAGTGTTGCGTTAAACAAACAAAACATCTAACTATATGACCTTTTCATAATAAGAGGGAAATGTTCAGTATTTCAGGTATTCTTTTGTGAGGTTTATGATTGTTTACCTGAAAAATATCAGGTATTTCAGTAGGTATGGTCCTTTGGTTTCTCAAGCACTGTTCGCTATGATTCAAAATATAAATGGATTAATCTACATGAAATATTATTAAACCACAGATTGTGTCTCATCATTTCAGAGAGTTTGGGGTTTTACATTCGATGATTATGGATTCAGAAATTGCTATTGGTGATTGATGTTTGTCTGAATTTTTTGCTGATTCTGACTACCTCTTTAATTGTTATCTGCCACCTTGGATTGTTGCTCATGCCAATGACCAATCACTCACTGTTAGTATCATGGAGGAAACAGTGAAGATATACTGTTTTACTTGTCAAGACGAAGTTTAAAGCATTAACCTAATCATACTGTAATTCTTATAAATAAATAAACCATTAAACAGACTGTTTACTATTTGTGTGCTTTTTTGCATTGGAATGAAATGGGCTCCCAGCCTGCTGCTTTTTTATACAGATTGGGTGGTGAGTGTGGGTAATAAATCAAGAGGTGATCTCAAGAAATAACTCACCTGTGTGTTATCAAACTTTGATAGTTTATGCTTCATTCACTGTTTTTTCCTTCTTGCCAATTTAACAAATGTTGAAATTATGAGACTGGAACACTGTGATTTGTTAAATATTTTGAAATGATTTTATTAGAAACTTCTTCAATCAGTTTTCAGGACACTTCTTATTTCTGTGACATAATGGGTACAATTTGTGAAGCCCATTTCTGGTGTCCCCGGACGTGATATTGCTGGAATATTTCTAAAAGCGGCGTAAAACCATACTCACTCACTGGACTCAACCTATACAATACACTGTTTCTGCTCACACACATTCAGTAATTACGCCATTTCACCTACACTTGCCTATTCTATTGTTTCTCCATGATTCATTAGTCATGAGGTGAAAGATCGAACAATATCATACGCCGCAAAATCAATGGAAAATAGATTCAACTATCCGAGACCATTTTGTGGTGATAGACAAATCAGTATATGGTCTCTGCTCTGTTTAATAAGAAGGATATAACCTGGTCATCATAAAATATCACAACAATCTCAATCTGCTATGAAAAATGATTGACGCACCATTTTGGGGGCGAACCCGTTTACCACTGACCAAACATGCCAAAAGGTGAGCCCACTGAAATTACTCCCCTTTGATGTGGACACAGTACTTACCTCCCTTACCGACACAGCGTCAACTAACGATTATCCTAGTTTATTCAATATATACAAATACGTAACGTATATATGCAATTATTTCTTTTATGTTTTTATTTAATGCGTTCTATTTTTAAAGTTGTCACTGTATAATACATGTTTGACTTGCAACAGAAATTAGAAGTCGACATAACACAGCCCGACACGTCGCCATGTCCATCAAAATTTAGACTATTCGCTTCAAAACTACTGTAAGAAACGTTACAGTCTTCAGCTGATTCAAAGAACGTTGCTCCAAACGTAACATTTGGAGTAATGTTCTTCTATATATCACAAGTTAAGAAATGAAAACATGCAATAGTAACAATGTTTCGTTGAAGCAAAAGTTCGTTATGGTTCATAGAACAAATATGTAATTTTGAAAAATAAAATGAAATGGGTGCGTGCGTTAGATTTAGCGTTACATTCAATGAAATGAACATGATGGAATCCAGAAAGTAACACCTCTCAAAGGTTTCTCCATTATATCATATGAACTGTGTCTTCATTTGGTTATTTTTCTGAGACCATAAAAAAACCCCAACCTTTCGCGTTTTCAGTCGATGGGCTGTTCGATTATTCGATTATGATTTCTTTAATAAATCAACCGTATAAACACATACATAAATATGATATTATGATAAAAGACGCTCTGTTTAATAAGAAGGATATAACCTGGTCATCATAAAATATCACAACAATCTCAATCTGCTATGGTTGATTGTTTATCCCATAAGCTGGTGTTACTTTCGTGATTTCAATGAATAAGAAACAAATAAAAAAACCAACCCAATAACACTTCCCACTTGCTCATTACAAGCTTCAGTCATGTTGCAGGTGACGAGTTTCATACAATCATTACATTTACGATCGAACACGCACCTGTCGCCTATCATACGCCGCAAGGAAAATGGCAACCCAACTCTACAAATTCCAGCGAAGTTTAAATTGCAAAGACAATGAACAAACGAGGAGGGACACCAATTAAGCTAATTGTAATTGCCGCTTCTTTACTAGGTTGTGTTTATTTCTTATATTTATACAATTCTACCCAAGGCCGATTACGGGAAGCCGAAGCATCTGCAGAAAGATACCGACGGTCTGATGAATCTAAGGTTGCTCAGTTGCAAGGTAAGCATGTTAATCAGTTGTTAATGGCATATAATTGTCCCCCATCTGCATAATCACACGGGATAAACAGCATATGATAAGCATGACTCGCCCGAACTGTACACGACAGTCTCCCGAACTGTTACCTGTTAAATGTTAATGTTATGAATAAACAGTTGGTTAGTTCCTTGTCTAAAGGAATGTATGTGTTCGTATACTTGTTGTAGATGTGTTTCTTATTTTATTATGTTCCACATTGTTGTCATTATTCGCACATGAGTATTAGCATTCTGTAGAATGTGATTATTATCCTGCACAGGTTGGATGTACAGGTTGTTTTTCGTTCTCTTAGTTGCTAAAATTTTAAATTTGACCCTGAGGTGAAAATAGCAGACAAAAAGAGTTTGAAAGATTTGTTAACATGGTAAGATATAATACACGAAAGAGTAGCCTATTGGTTAAATCATTTACTCATTATAGTGAAGGCCCGAGCCAATTTCTGTTGTCCCCTACCTAAATATTCCTTGAATATTGCTAAGAGTGGAGTAAAATCCAACTCACTCACAAAAAAGGCAATATTGTGTTTTGTTCACATTTCTGATATTGCATAAGGAGTGATTAACCTCAGTTTTAACCAGTGTGACTAATTGTGCTGAAGGGGTCATTGTCGGCACGGGTACTACAGATATGTCCACATATTGTATGCAGAAACGTACCCTAGCCAAAATCTGAACACAGAAACGTACCGAGGACAGGTCCATTCTGCACTGTGCTGTTTTCTTGATCAGAAATGTCATTCCGTTCAATCAGATACGTTTGATTGCGTTATATAGAAATGAGGACACAGTAACAAATATTTTGCGATGCACAATACCACTCGCAATCAGTTGCTCAAATGGGAGCAACTACATACAGTTACGGTTTTGGGTTGGGGAATATGGACTCGTCTGTCGTTTAGGGTACCGGCTACGTTTCGTATATTTTGATTTTGTTTAGGGTACATTTCTGTATACAGAAACATACCTGGGTACACATCTGTAGTACCCATGCCAACAACGCCCCCTTCAGCATAACTTCTATTTGGAATAAAGCGCCTAGTGGTCAAAGCGTTCGCTCGTCACGCTGATGACCTGGGTTCGAATCCCCACATGGGTACATTGTGTGAAGCCCATTTCTGGTGTCCCCTGCTGTGATATTGCTGGAATATTGCTAAAAGCGGCGTAAAGCTGAACTCACTCACTCTATTTGGACTACATCAGTGATAATATGAGAGAGGTAGACACGATGACTAAAATACAAAGAGTCCACAATAAAGTCAGATTAGGGATAATGTCTGAAACATTATGCATCTGAACAGATTACTACTTGTCTTGAAAATATGCAAGTCATTTATCCAGTCTCAATAATAGCAAGTTGTTTGCCATGTCAAACCTTTTTTGTTTTTGATAGATGGTGTTAAAAACAAAGCATGCAAAATGAAAAACTACCAGTGTTGTTACTTTTTCCAAAGGGACATGGATGAATGAGTGACTAAGGTGCCACAATTCATTGTGCAGATTCTTCTGCAACCAACTGGAAGGTTTTGTGTCCCTTGAAGGTCCGGGTTAGAATTGATCTTCAGTAACCCATGCTTGTCGTAAGAGGCGACTAATGGGATCGATGGTCATGCTCACTGGCTTGGTGAACACATGTAATCGGTTCCCAATTGTGCAAATCGATGCTCGTGCTGTTGATCACTGGATTGTCTGGTCCAGACTCGATTATTTACAGACCACCGCCATATAGTTGGAATATTGATCAGTTCAGCGTAAATCTAAACTCACTCACTCATTGTGCAGATGCCATATACCTTTGATTGTCGATTCGAATCACAGTTTCTATGTTTGTCAACACCACACCCATGCTCATGGATCAACAAAGTGATTAATATCTCACTTCAAGCTTTCCTCATTGACTGACTTGAGTGTCAATTACTAATCACAGAGTAAGCTATTGTGCTGCAGCAAAGAGCGAGTTTCACGGGGTTCTGAGGGTCTATGATCTTTTGAAATCCATGGTCAGAGTAGTATGCTCTGCTGGTTCAGAGTAGAGTAATGCAAGAAACCACATATAGACATGAAGAAAAAACTCAGATCATGTTTATATTTTCATTTTTTTGCGAGTAACTGACAAAAAAAAACGGCAAATGAAATTAGAATAAAAAATAAGGTAACCATGAGAATGTTTTGGTCAAATTCTGTGTTACCGTAAACTTAAATATAAAAACATAAACAAAAGCTAATATCTCTGTTATTTCAAAAGTTAATAAGCATAAAAAATGGTTAACGATATGTATAAAATCTCTATTTTCAAAAAAACCAACCCAGTTTTCTTTTTGTTTCTTTTCATGTTAACACTTTTATTTAGAAGTAGAAGTATGACTGTGAAAATTATTGGTATTATTTCTCAATTTTTTTGCAATTTTTGTAAACCAACCAGTGGAAAATATATCGTTGTTTTGTACTAGCCAACTTTTACACTTCTCTCAGGCTTGTTGAAAAATGTAGGTATTAAACCCTGTTGTCAACATTCTCATGGATTCCATCATAGTGCTAAATGTCAACCTGTTTCGGTCGGTGGGGAAGCCTAGTGGTTAAAGCGTTGGCTCGTCACGCCGAAGACCCGGGTTCGAATCCCCACATGGGTAAAATATGTGAAGCCCATTTCTGGTGACCCCTGCCGTGATGTTGCTGGAATATTGCTAAAAGCGGCGTAAAACCAAACTCAGTCAGTCAACCTGTTTCACTTACTTTCCATATTAAACTGTCATAGAGTGCTACAATAGTAGAACAAGGTCATAAATCAATAACCTATACTTTCAGTTTTGAGCTGAAGGATTCTGATTGGATGAGAATGAACTGTCAAGTTATGGGCCATGATGTCAATGGCTAGCAGAAGTCACAGAGATCTGCTTTTATTTAAAATTGATGACCCTGTATCTACTTGTAATTCCTCTTGTGATGTGAATACAACAGTTCATTGAAATGAAAATGAATATTCAGTTTAGTATTCTCAATGCCAGGAACAATATTTGGCAATGAGTTCATTGGAGGGTAGTATGTTTCAACAATTCTTCTTGAAAATAGTTTTGCCTCAAATTCAAAACAATAATTTGTTTGTCAGAACTTAAACGTAACTGTTAAATGTATCCTTATGAGAGCTGATCTACACATGATATTCAAGAGAAAAAGTGGTCCCCAGAACGTTATTCTCATTGTACTGTTGAGGATCAGATGGTTACAGGTGACTTGTTTTATTATTAATGTATCCTGGACAGTGATGATTATGAATCATGCTGTTAACTACGGGTTCATCTGGCCCATTTTTAAGATATGAAGTCCATTGGAATAATAATGACTGTCGCCTGTGGATATTTCAGTCAGACAGATTCCTGGCAACCATTGCTATATTAGTGACCTTGAACTTAAATGATTGCATTTCATCTTACCTCCATGGCTTGTTGCTCACCATGCTCCCATTATCTATCACTGGAATATCTGATCTGGACTTGAAAGTTCACAGGCTGCCGTTGTATCGTTCAAATATACCCTTATTCACCTGCAGTATGATCTGGACACGTCAGTTGTGATATATTGTCTAATGACAGTGAACATTGAAATGCTTGCAATTCATTCTGACTATGCATACACTTCTTCACACTTATAGGTGTGGTGGGGTAGCCTTGTGGTTAAAGCATTTGCTCATCACGCTGAAGACGCAGGTTCGTTTCCCCACATGGGTACAATGTGTGAAGCCCACTTCTGGTGTTACCTGCCATGATATTGCTGGAATGATGCCAGAAGTGGTGTAAAACTAAACTCACATACTCTTCACACTTGTATTTGTTTGATTAAAGATAAAGCTTCGTTCAACTTCAGTGCATGCATCGTCAGGTCATTTTGAATGTGTGTCAGTAGTTTTTGTCAGAGCTACGGTAAAACAGATCCTGATCAGACATTTTGTCCCTTAACTCTTCAGACCTACACCAGGTATCAGGGTAAGATCAGGTAATAAGAGTCGAGTACCTGAGAATTCCCAGCCTGGTGTAAGACCATCTATACCTTCAACTCTCTTCCTTCAGCAAGGTGATACTCTGTGATAAACCAAACTTACTGACAGATGTATAATCAATATTTAGCTGTGATCTGTGTATCTACAGTCATACAAGTAGTCATTCACATAAATGTTTATTGAGATATTTGTTTTCCACACCTAACCTATTCTGCCCATCATGATCATCAGTTGTGCATCAGTTGTGTGTTTTATCCATCAATCACATACCTAACTGATAAGTAATTGTGCTCACAAGGATATGGTTAATAATATTCTCCTGAAAGATGATCTTGAAATATCTATTGCTTTGATAAAGTAAGACAAGTTTGAAGCTGTCAGACATATGATGGATTCTTTCTTTACTTCACACTTTCATATTGCTTGATTGATTATGTTTTGTGAGAATGTCCCTTGTTTCATCAGTCATTAGTAACAAAATGACGACCTTTCTGTGTCAATCAAGGGCAGATAATTAGAGATTGAGAACTATGGGATGCTTTGGTCATGTTCAGTAGGGCTGCAAAGATTCAGTTCAATTCATCGAAAATCAAATCTGACATCTTAGTTTCGATTTTCGATAACCATTATCACTGTTTCGATTCGATATTTGAATACTAGAGATGGCTATCATTACATTTTGTCAGATCGATAATCACTAGTGTCAGATCGATAATCCATCGATTATAATCGTTTGGACTGCCATTTCATAGTCAAATACCGACGTTAGCAAACTAACTTACGGGTTGTTGTCAGCACCAGCCCTGTCAATTGTTCACACTAGCAAGTTACTTACAAAAAAACAAACATTTGCAGCATCTTTGGACACCCCAATCTAAATATATCTAGCATTGCCATTGGCTGATAGGGTACTACTTGTGTAGTACACAGCTACCGTTTAAGAAGTAAACAAGCAATGACGACGAGATTGTTCGGTAAAAGAAAACACGACAAGGTAGAATAAAGATTTTAATGTATGTGCATCCAAATAATGATTATTTCCGATTATCGATCAGCAGTTTATTTGTAATCGACATTCGCTTTTTTTGACTTAGATCGAACGATTAACCGATCCTACGATTAATTGCTCCAGCACTATTGAATACCTATTTAAATTATTTCCACACAGCCAGAACGAATTTTGACTCCAAACTCGAGCAATTTCGAGCGCTGAAATAAGACGAAACGTGATTGGTTGACGCCGGGCTAATTATCCAATGAGAATTGTTGTTAGTAGACATCGCCAAGTTGACGATGGATTTCACGTTAAAAAAGCCGACTGATGTTTTTACTTGTATAAAGAATCGAATCGAAAATGATCGAATCGAGCGTCCAATATCGAAAATCAAATCGAATCGAGGTCTGGGTGAATCGTTGCAGCCCTAATGTTCAATGTTCACAAGGATTATGACCTGATATGTCATTCAAAGAAGGATTAAACTTAAACTGCCAAGCCTATTATTCAGTGCAGGTACTTTCATCACTGTAGATTCATTTGGTCACATAACTTCATCCAAAAGGAATCCATTTGTTGATTATGACCGTCTCTGTGATTTAGTGGATAGAGCATCTGCCAAGAGAGCATAAGGTTGATAGTTTAATCTCTGTGTCATGTCAGAAAATGTTGACAGAAGGGACTCACTGTCACCTTACATGGTGCTTGACATAAGGGGATGAAACAAGCAGTGGTCAGCATTATCTTGTGCTGTGTCTGAAAAGGGTGTCTGTGTTTACAATGTCCCTTAAACTTACGCTAATGCTACCTGTGAAGACTTGAGCAGTGTGCGAAATTTATGCTGGTCCTGTGGTCCCTGACTAGTAAAAATTCATCATGACCACTAAATGATAAGTTTGCAGTGGTCCTGGTGCCAGTGAAGTTTGTATTGATAGTTAAGTAAATCTATGAATGTTATCTTGGACCAGTGAAGTACAGACAGGACTACTAATTATTGTCCATTCACTGGTCCTGTGGTCTTGTGGGAAGTTTTGAAAGGTTTCTTTCCTGCTGGAGCTATAATTGATCTTCAGCAATCCAGGCTTGTCATAAGTGGCAACTAACTAAAGGAATTGTTTAGTCATGCATGCTTGCTTGGTTGGAACTTGTCTTTGTATTCCTGTGTGTAGATCAATGCTTATGATGTCAATAATTGGATTGTCTTATTCAAACTCAATTATTTACAGACCGCCATCATATAGTTGAAATATTAATGAGACCATCACCAACAAACAAACAAGATATTAATGCAGATAAGTACAAACAGACACCGACTCAGACACAATCACCATATTCATGAAGTGAATATTTAATCAAAAAGAAGTATGTTGACGATTCAAGATGTACAGAATTAATGTGCTTTCAGTTTTGTCGGAGCAGAAGTCTCGGGTTGAGACATCATTAAAAGGTGAGACCTTACAACAGGTTTATTGCACATAAACAGCCTGCTATAGAACAGCGATGAGGGACTTTCTGAAATGTGCTTGTTTTATGGTCTTCAGAATTAGTTGATTCTCGTTAACTTGAACATGAAGTTGACTTCTTTCCTTAACACAATGCTAGTTTATGCTGAGTTCAAATCTGTTTTCATAATTCTTTATTTTTGTTACATTTGATTATATTCTTTTGTTTGAAGTTGGTTGAAAGAGATGGAGTTTGTTGTTAAACAAGACACTGTCATTTAACTTGATTTAAGTCTTTTATGTTTTCATATTCTACTGGTAATTGCATATTTGTGGGGCTATGGCTATACTCATATTGGAATAGTAATGGTAGTACACAATTATTTATCTGAACTGCTATATCATATACATTGCATGACCTATATGGACACTCTGCTTTTGTACTACAGGCACTTTGAGTACAGGATGTCAACTGAGTGGGTTTTGGAGCATAATCACTTTTCCATGATATATGGTGTTGGATTCTAAATTAATGAATTCAAGCATACAAAGTATAAAAACAAACATTGGTCTCTTTGCATTTGATTGTACTGATAGCTAAGTGCATTATTGCCATGCCTACCTTCCCTTTTTGACAGAGAAATTATTTGCTGCATCAGCACTTTTGCATATGTGATAAAAGCTTATGTATGAAGAGTATCTGTCCTTTTTGAATATTTTTCCAGTCTGATGTGAAAGTTCAGCAAATAACATTAAACTTTGTCCTATATTTTTTACACATAAAGCAGAAACTGACAATATATATATGATCTATACAGTCATGATCAGTGACACAAGGATATATGATACAGTCATACAGACATTGGCTCAAGTTGCACAGTTAGCAAAAACAAACCAAAATAGATTTACTAAACCTCTCAAAGTTTACCTTGGTACAGAGAGCATGACAGGAAGAAACTGGGATTATGATCTCCTTGTGTCAGAAGCAGGACATACAGGTGTTTTATCTAAATGGATCTGTACACCACAACACTGATGGTTAAAGATGCACACAACTGTTCAGCTTTTAAAATCCTGTACACCTCTGACAAATGTATTTTTTTGAGTTTGCATGTCTCATAGCACTTATTTTCAGTAAAATATATGTAGAAGGCTTGAGAACCCCAGGTGTCTCAGATTTAGAACCTTATGATGTGTCCAGAACTTTTGACATGGGGGTCTATTATGGCATGATGTTTCCAGGTTAGAATAGATCAGTAAGGATTTAAGCAGATTAATGATAACAGATCTGTCAGTAATTGTTTCAGAGTTGGTTTAGTATTGTTTACTATTCATTCAAAGTGGCAATTGTGCAGGATCTACATCACATCTTGTTTTCTCACACATATGGCTGACACACTACGATTTAACTGGAAAGCTGTCCAAAGCATAACAAACACTCCCATCTAGGGTTATAAACCTTGTTGAAGCAAGAAACCCTTCATTACTGAGGTATATGGCATGTTAAAATGTCTGTCTTGACAATGCCAGGTCTATCCTTTTTCAAGGTACTGGTCAAGAAATTGCCCAAATGTGGATGGAACATAGCTGACTGTAACGTAAAGTATATAACCAAATCCTTTAGAATGTTCAGTTAAAAAATCAGATGTATGTAGGGCCATGTGTTCACAATTGCAGTCAAATTTAGACACGACAGATGTGAATGGTTTTGTGCTGAGAGACTGCAGCACTTGTTAATATTTGAAAAATATTGGGTAACCATAATTGTTGGCCATATGTTATTCTCTGTTTGAGCTTTGTGTGTGACTTGTTAAATGGAAGCATACACTGGATCAGTGTTTGTTACCTTACATCTCTAATGAGAATTTTTCACAAACTCTCTCAGATGAAATGTTCATTTCCCATCATGTTTTACCTATGTCACATGATGCGACAGCAGTGATGGCCCATATACAGCTACAGACAAACTGAAGGCTAGACTTGCACAAGTCTCTAAGGTAGTAATTAATAGTTTAACTGATAATTTCTAAAATATATAAATATCCCTCACAGACTGTCTTCCTTACTTCTGTCCTCTTATCAAGACTAGCCTTTAAAAGGATAGAATAACTGTACATCCATGGGCTTCGCCTTCAGTATAGCCTTGGAGCAAGGCTAAGTGAAGGCCTCAGTGACGGGGAGCTGAGGCAACATCACCTTTGTGGGACTTCAGTGATGTGAACTCTGTGGTTGGGCTGACACTTCTTTCTGAGCTATTGACGCTCATTGTGTTCAGTTCATTGAGAAATCTGGGATAACATACTTATGCATTCATTTGGGGCGAGTATTGGAGTCTGTGTAACAATTTCTCGGACTCTATGTAGTTAGAAGCTGGAAGTCTGTGTCTGTTTACTTGCTATGTAAAAACCATCTGCATCCAAAATGCTATGGTGATGACGATGATATGGAGATTTAACATGCGCTTTCTGACATAATACATTTTAGCAGTATTTACAAAATTACTCTGTCGTTCATTATATTAATGAAACAGAATTAATTATGATACTTAATTAAGATGTTCACTGATGTGTCCAGCCCATTGACTGCTGCTGATCATGTTTTTATATAACGCAGCGGAAGGGAATCATGGCAGTATAACAGTGTTCACGAATGGTGTTTCAAAGTAACAGGACATTGGGTCCTGTAAGTTTCAGATGTCTGCCTGACCCATTGAAAATTCAAAGGACCCATAGAATATAATTAAACATACATTTCAGATTGAACATTTCTTATAATTGGTATTGAAATTATTAACAAACATAAGATTCATGAGCAGCAAACAAGTGTCACATGTCACATATAACAGCTTCAGTCAAAGTCATTGTGAAACATACTGTCAGACACTGGGGCCGGCAGGTTGTAGACTTCTATCGGACCGTTGGCGAATCTGCCGGATTTGCCTGCGCTATAACGCTATAACTCTGTAACAGTTATTGCCATTCCGAATTTCTCGTGCCATTCGTGAAATAATATGTATTTATATCATACAGTAGCCTCATATAATTGATTGTGTGACTATTTGAGTGCTTCTTTTACAGTAAGTTGACAGGGAATGAAACAATTAATGACTTGTGAACTTGACTGATTCCGTGGTGTAATGGTTAGAGCGTCCGCCCGGAGAGCGGAAGGTCGCGGGTTCGATCCCCGACGGCGTCATACCAAAAGACGTTAAAATATGGTACTTGTTGGTCCCTGCCTGGCGCTCAGCATTAATGGGTACAACAAGGACTGATCGGCTCGGAGTGAGTATAATGTGTCTGAGTGGGGTATTCATGCTTCACTGCGGCATGGTATCTCAGTGGGCTAGCACTATAAACCAGCTTAAGTCTGGGCTAGTACAAGCAGCTGCACATACACACACACACTCATGCACGTCGTCATATGAGCGAAATATTCTCAAGCACGACGTCAAACCCAATTTCACCTCACCTCACTTGTGAACTTGAACTTGCTATTATATTACACTGAATTGATAAGACTTTCAAAAGTACCGGTATACGTATTCGGTATTCTTCTTTATGTACTCTGAGCCGTCCCTTTCTGAAATCTGAACCACTACACACATTAATACTGCTGTGTTATATCTTGTCACATTGCTGCTGGTAACATAACTCCACATAAACTCAAGTTGAAACACTGATAGATTTTGTAACAGCTGACCAGGAAACTGACAGCTGTGTCACATTGTTTCAATGGATTAAGCTGGCCTGTATGGAGATAACAAATTTAACGCACTGCTATTGTTGTGCTGATCACTGTTAAAATGGCTTAAGCATGTGCCTGTGTTAACACAGTGCACACTCTTCCAGCCGGCCAACTGCAGTTTGTGTGTTCAGCGTTGTCTGGCGGTTAACAGTGTTTTAGGCACTGCCGTGGAATGTTAATCATGATAATTGCAATGGAATTCTTTTGTGACATGTTACCAATCAGTAATTGTTTCACTGACAGTAGAGCAGGTTTGCTCCCAGTTGCAGTTATTCGGGACATCAATATTGTATATCCAATAGCTATGACATTAACTTTTGTTTGGGTTTTATTTATTAAAGGGGCAATGGAATGTAGAAAACCACTTGATAGTTCACTAAATTTATCTCCTGAATTATTTGTTTTCTGTTGATGTATATTTGCAGTGTTTTGCGTAATGTCATAGCTTTATGAAACTTACCATGTCAGTTCAACAATGTTGGACCCATGAAGATCCGGGTTAGAATTCATCTTCAGTAACCCATGCTTGTCGTAAGAGACAACTAACGGGATCGGGTGGTCATGCTTGCTGACTTGGTTGACACATGTCATTGTATCCCAATTGCGTAGATTGGTGCTCATGCTGTAGAACACTGGATATTCTTTTCCAGCATTGATTATTTACAGACCATCGTCATATAGCTGGAATATAAAACTGAACTCACACACTCAACAATGATCATTTTTGCTTACACTGTTTAAGCCATTGATTTGCCAGGATGATTATTTGCAGTGAAGTGGTTTTGCTTGAATATTTTGAAACATATTGCACAAAACACATTCATTCCCTAAATTACCATCTCTCAGAGGAAATTAGATTTTAGATCAGATTGGTTTCACAGTCTGTACCCATGTAGGGATTCAAACTCATGCTTACTTGGCTACCTCACCATCTCTCAAAAATTAGAAATTAATTGGGCAGACTGCCTCAGGATTGTTGTGTGAACACAATTCAAACTGTTACAAGGAGTACATGATATAATCTTAATCAGTTATTGTGTGTATGTCCAATTAATAAGTCTGTGTTCTGGTATCACATTTACAGAGATTGTTCACAGATATGTGCAACGTGCATAGTGAAAGAACGTCCTTGTATGGAAATATCAGATTCTGCTCATCAAGCTGCTATGTTTTGCCAACTCATCCATTCATTTCATTCAATACATTGTGTTTAATCCGTGACTTGTGCAAACATATGAATCTAGCCTTGGCCTGGTTTCTG